GGCTTCTCCGTCGAGCAATGCCAAGCCCGATGGCAAGAACTCAAAGACATGCAACGTCAGCAAGACCAGCAACTTTCCTCCACACCACTACCAACAGAACCACCACGACAAGCACCTTCCCTCTCACCAACACCCACCTCACCAGCAGTTTCCCCAGCACCACATTCACAACCGGATTTTTCCCCTTCCCCCAAAACAACGCCACCGACTTCACCACTTCGATCACCTCCTGCTGCTGTGCTGCTGCCGCCGGCCGCTGAGCGAGAACTTAGTGAGAACAGTCATCCGGAGAAATCTCCACTTACGCCCGTTGGCAGTTATTTCATATGATCCGTTTCACCCAGCTTTCTCTACGGCGCGCCGCAGGACAAATCCACTGACATGCACTGACAATTTGTTTTCACGCCCGGTCTACTTTCACCAATTTTGCACATCTTCTGTCTTTCAGTTTTCAGGCTCACTCTAGCTCCGCAGCTTTTTGTGTACCACTTTGTCCTGCTTTCCTGTACCAATCGCTATGGCCAATCCTCGCGCTCGCCCCCATGGCAACACCGCCGACACAGAACACTACCTGCCACAGCGCCCTCCGAACTGGCTCCAACCTTCGATTTGCACTCAGCCTGACTTTCAATCCCTCAACAGCTCCTTGGACCTTCTCTTTATGGTCAACCAACACCTCCGCCATCACCCATTTCACACTGAACCTATGCCAAGCCAGACGTATTTTCAGGACCAGCGAGCGTATAACCTCCTTTACCGAACGCGCGGTGACCTGATCTTGCTGGACCGCCTGATTGATAGCCTCTCCCAGGCTCGTCGGCTCCTTCAATTTGTTGCAATACCGCATCAACCCCACAGCCTCACTCTCCAGCAGAAACCTGGCCCTTCTACACGACATACCGCCAGGTTTTCCACTACCACCCGGACTTTCCAGCCGATCACCCTCTCCCTCACCACGTACCCCACCACAAGACGCAGAACGTCTACACTCTCACTGGACAGGCCCCCCGCCACAAGCTACCCCGGCCACCAACATCAACATTGCCACTCACACCAGGGAACGCTCACGCTCCCGCGACAACCTCCCACACCGCAGTGGCTAACTACAATATCAAGCACTGCAGCAACGTCCCAACCCAGGCTCTACAGCGGCCGCCATGCAACGTGCCAACTCTGAGACGGCATCCCGGCCCACAGCTGCTGCTACATTCCATTTTTCAAGTCTCACTGATATTTTTCGGCGAGCGGAAAAACTCAGCCATCTAACCGATTTACCACTTTTCACACTCACACTGTTGATGGTTTTCCACCATCGCATGCCACCATATGTTCCGCAGCCATTTGACCGAACTGTTTCTTCATAACCGCTCGTCCTTTCTACGACATGATGCCCCGTGATGATCTACGAACTCCACTACCTCCTCATTCAGCGACAACTACCCTATCCCCCGACCCACCCACTACACACCACAGTTACTCCTTACCGAACAATCCCATGCCTTACTTGGCTCCATCCGCGACACACCAGCCAGAATTACTCTTGCTCCACTGGATGATTAGCACTATCGCCTCACTCGTCGAGGATCTCCAACATCACCCCATTGTGCAAGATCCCATCCCTCCAATGTCTACATTCACCAACACACCAGCTTACAGACTTTTTCTGCAGCTGCGCAACACCCTCCGACACTTGATCAACACCGCCCACGACGCCCGACGTGGACTCAACAGGCTGCAATTCCTTCCTGGCTCACCAGGTTCCCCTGGCCACTACCGCATTGACCCCACCCTCGACATCCCACCACAGCAAACCAATTTCCTCTCCGTAGCCACCTTCCAACGTGACCCAGCCATACCATCACCCATCAACATGGCACACCACCACTCATTCACCGATTCAGTTGCAGAGACAGGTCTCGTTCCCGAGATCGCCTCCCTCTCACCACACTCTCACAGCCAAATCACACAACCCATCGACACCAGACAATCCCAGACCGACCTTCTGCAGATCACGGGCACCGCGGACACCTGCATCAAGCACTTTGGACGGCTTCCAATTCCAGTTCCACTTCTTCAGCAGCTTACCACCTGCTTGCTGACACGCCGTCATCCTCCCCCTGAGGCTGCCCGGACAACGCTTTGTCTCACACATTACGCTTTGCTCAGAGAAAAACCCGTCCAATTAGTTATCCTCACACTTTCTCCATCTTACTGTCCAGCAATCACACATTTTTCTCCGCAGCCATTTGAACTCTCGACGAGCCACTCCATACATCCCACTTCGCCTTCTCACCACCCCATGGAATACGACTCTCCTGACTGGGATCGCACTCTGAAAGATGAGGCACCACACCTCACCAAGGCAGAGCCCGTCGAACCATCCACCAACGACACCAAGTTGGAACCCTCCGGTCAGCACTGTACCGGAAAAAACCTCCA